CTCTCTCTCTCTCTCTCTCTCTCTCTCTCTCTCTCTATTCGTTTCTTCATTATTTTCTTTAATAATATTTGTGAATGGAATTGAATTCGAAGTTAAATTTAAAATTATTTCACTGCATAAGTAAAAGTCAATGAGATCATGTAAGTCAATAGAAAAATGATATGGGATAAGTGAAAAGACAAGCAAGAATGTGTGTAATAAATCATAAGTAATATATAAGCTTTTTTTTCCATCCTACTTTAACTATGATCTTATCAATGAGATCATAAGTAAAACTCATCTTATCAATAACTAGAGCTCAATAAATTTTTAGGACATAAAAATTAAGCTTTTTCTTTAGATAAATTTTTAGAACATAAAAGTAAGATATTATTTTTTCAATAAATTTTACGACATAAAAATCAGATATAATTTCATAGATTTAAAAACTTTTTTATATTATTTCATCTGAAAGAAAATTTACTTTGATATTTCTTTGATAACTCACATTCCCATTCATTTCCCACAATTTTTGATTGCTGTATTGTGGGAAGAGTTGAGCAAATGAAGAAACAATCATTGCGATGACATTAATTCATTCCAATGCAAAATTTACTTTTTCATTCAAATTTATAAATTGATGAAATGAAATTTACGTTTAAATGCTGTCAAAAGACAGAAAAAATTTTAAATGGTTGTGATATATTAAAAAAAAAAAGAATCTATTCATTTATCATGTAAATTTTCAACTTTCTCTCCGATAATTTTGAAGGTTTTAGTAAAATTTTTTGATAGTTCACTGCGAATATGAATAAAAATTCATTCTAAATTTTAATTCATATATCATTCATTAAAAGTGCTAATTTTAATTTCGCATACAGTGAAGAAAAATTATGAAATTAATCCTTAACTTAAATTCATTTTGTGCATCCTACAATGACAAAAAAGAGATTAAATAATACAGTATGGAAAAAAAATACTGTACCGTTTTTTTAAGGATCCGTATGATATGTAAGGACTGTTTACTACCTGAACGATCATTTCTCATTTTCTGGGCTCAATTTTATCTTGCAATTCAACAAAGGTTGAATAGGAGAAGACGGAGCAATTTGACTTTCAGGATTTTGATAAATTTAATTTACCACAGGAAAAGGAAGAAAGTTCATGAAAAGTGAAAATTCAATAGTAATGCATTTTTGGCATCAAAAAACCGCCGACGAATGAAAAAAAAAATGCTGTTTCGTTTCCTTTTCCTTTTTTTTTTGGGGGGAGGGGGAGAGGAAAAGGGTGAAAAGGAGATAATATGAAAGTGAAA